GAGGGAAGTGAGAGTTTTGGGGCAGGGAGGTAGGGGGACCCAGGCCCTCCTGCTCCTCCGGGTCCCAACCCTGTTGGCAGTGGATGCTTCTACTACCTGCTTAGTGTGGCATCCTGCCGAAACGTGCTGAACTCCTGGAGGGACAAACCTCTGCCCTGGACCATTTCCTACTGTCCCTGGTGTCGGGGCTGTCCCTGAGGCTGCGGTGGCTTCTGCCTGGGCTGCGGCTCCTGGGGCTGCTCAGGAGCGCTGGCCTGAGCTCCTGCCCTGCTGGCAGTCCGCCCAAAGTGAGCTGCTCCCCTGCCTTTTATACAGCTTCAGCAGTTGGAGCATGCCCAGTCTGAGAAGAAGGGCGGGACTTCCTCTACCCACAGAGACTTAGCCCCCTCCCCTTCAGTGCAGAGCATATCCGCCCCATCACAAGGACCAAAAGAAATGGCTTGTTTTTTTTCAAAAGTTCTGAGGAATCTGTGGAAGTCAAAACTGACCTTAACTGACAAGCACGAGGGCTTTTTTCTTCCATCTGGGTTTATGCTAAGGATGTTAAAGACTAGTGGACTAGTCGTTTATCCGATAAGCATTTGCTTATTGGATAGTCGTTTGACTAGTCGACAGAGGCAGCAAAGGGGGGCAGAGGAAAGGGGTACTTCAAAGTGGCAGTGCCGCACAGTGGCACTGCCACTTTGAAACCCCAAGGCAGCCACTGCACAGCTGATTCGCGGATCAGCTGTGCAGTGGGCTGCCCCTTTAAAATGCTGCCTCTGCACATTTTCAAGTAGCTCTGGAGCCCGGGGTCAGCTGGGGACTCCCCAGCTGATCCTGGGCTCCCCGCAGCATTTCCCCGGAACCCAGATCAGTCCTCAGCTGATCCCAGGTTCCAGGGAAATGCCGTGGGAATCCCAGGGTCAGCTGCCTCTTTGCCTTTCGGGGCCAGCTTTAGCCACAGTGATACTGAAGGGATACAGTATGTTCAGCTGAGACACCCCCCACCCCCAGTGCTTTGCATAGATGGAGAAAGGTGGCATTAGCTTTGTACCCCAGGTAGATGGAATCTGAGCCTTATTTTCCATTGGAAAAGTCCAGCAGATTGGAATGGGGCAAGATTTCATACAGAGTGGTTAATGATTTGCATCCTAATTACTGAGTAATTCAAGGGCAGAATTGGGGCTAGATTAGAGGTAGCTTGAAATTCAGGGTATGTCTATTTTTACTGGAAGATTGACACTCTGGCAGTTTAATTTAGCGGGTCTAGTATACACCCGTAAATCGAATGCTAAAGGCAGTTCCTGCCAGTGTTCAGCGCTCCTCTCTTTGTGAGGAGTAAGGGAAGCTGATGGGAGGCTTTTGCTCCTGTCAGCCTCCCTCAGTGTGGACGCCACCACGGCTCATCTTAAGGTAAGATTACTCCAAGTATGCATTTTGCGTAGCTGCAGTTGTGTACCTTAAGCCTTCCTTCCAGGTTCAGTGTAGATCTGCCCTCAGTCCACTAACAGCTTAGCCCTGCCATATTATCTGTGGGCAGAAGAACCCACATTTCACTTTAGCTGGGTTGTGAGCAGCTGTAAGGATCCACCCATGTGGATCTCTAAGGTGCTACAGGACCATTGTTGTTTTTAAAATTTTGTTAGTTACAGATTAACATGGCTACCTCTCTGAGACTTTCAAAATGGTTATAGTATTACATTCACAACACAACTTTCAATGGCTTTTTAGTCTCAGATATAACTAGAACTAGTACCTATATACATTTTTATATTACCAGATTATTTAATTTACAAAGTACAGCAATGAAGGGAGAACATTAAATCCTTTCTTTTACGAAATTGCAAATATTCCATGGAGTTGCTTCATAGTATCCTACTACAGTTTTCACTTTGTCTATACAGGGCTTTATAGTGTGGCTACTTTACAAAGATACAAGGAATTTAGCGTCTACACTATAGATACAGGCACACATACATTGTCTCATAGATACCGCAAGAGGAAAGTCCAAATCCTGCTTTCACATTAACAAGTACAACTCTCACTGAATTCAGTGTGCTGTGTGCAAGTATCTAAAGTCAATTTGGCTCAATGACTTTAAAGACTTACCAGAAATTATTTCTGATGCAGTAATATTTATAGTATAGATTCTTTAACTATGTAAAGAAATTTCAATGAGGTTCAAGAATAAGGCTCCCTTGGGTCATTAATGGTGCAGGCCAGTGTTTTTCAATTTCAGGCCTGTGGACCCATGTCGTCCACAGACTATGTCCATGAGGGTCTGTAAAAGGTCATTGTTGCCATAGAACAGTGATTTTTCAACTGTGATCTGTGGACAACATGGGGGTCCACAGAGTACATCTAAGATTTCCAAAGGGGTCTGACCTACATTTCAAATTTTTAGAGGTTAACAACAACTCTCTGACTATGGTTATCCAGCCAATTATGCACCCACCTTATCGTGGCCCTATCTAAGTTATATTTGCCTAGTTTATCAATAAGAATATCATGCGAGACCGTATCAAATGCCTTACTAAAGTCTAGGTATATGACATCCACCGCTTCTCCCTTATCCACAAGGCTCGTTATCTTATCAAAGAAAGCTATCAGATTAGTTTGGCATGACTTGTTCTTCACAAACCCATGCTGGCTATTCCCTATCACTTTATTACCTTCCAAGTGTTTGCATAGGATTTCCTTAATTACCTGCTCCATATATTAATATATTTATAGCTCTTACAGCAAGCAGTTTTATCTGCCCAGATCTATAGATATTTTCCAAAACTCTTATGCACTACTAAATATTACAATAGCACACAATCCAGATTGAGTCTCCATTATACTGGATGCTGTACATATATAGAAAGATACAGTCTTTGCTCTGCAAAGTTTGCAAATCTAACAGGCTGTCAATGTCAATTCATTTTGTAACAGTGAAGTGGTAACTTGTACGTCTTTCACATCATCAGAACTTTCAGTAGATTATGCAATAGAATCATAAAGATTTCCAGGACCTCTTACATTTCTTGAAATAGTAGGACTAAAACATGTAGGATGAAGTGCTAGTATTAATATCTTACAACATAACTATTACTTGTGTAGTTACAGTGACAGCTTGAGAAAATTAAATCTTACAAGATTTGCTTCCCATTCAACATCACGCTTTTGTCAATGAAAATAATGCAATATAATCATGCTGAAATGTAAATAAAACTTCTGTTCAATGTTTTTATAATTTAGAGTATGAAAGGATTAACAAATTAATGCTTTTCCAGAAGTAACTCTGGCAGAACAATAAAAAACTCGGATTTTTATAATCTCCAACTCCCTGAATCTTGCTTTTCCAGCATAACATGCTTTACTAGCTTAGTTATTTCATGCAGAAAAGAGGAGAAAAGCATTCAGTTTTTCTTCAGCTTCTTCACGTTGCTATTCAAATAATGCATTTTTACCTGTCACTGCAGACTCATACCTTTCTAGCTCCTCTCAAACAGACTACTTCATTTACTGCTGCAGAGCCTATTCTCTACCACCCCAAATAAATTAACATTTTACTGCTTTAAAATTCTGTAAGCTCTCATATCCTAAATACAAAAACCAAAATGGACACAGAATGTGAGTTAACACTTACCATCAAGCCGCTTGCTAATTTGTTCTTTTGCAAATCTATTTGCACATTTCCTCAATGTTTCAACAGATGAAGTTATTTCATTTTTCTCTTTATTTTCTTCCTTGTTAGAGCTATTATCCTTCATATGTTCTGAGTTCATTAACTGGCCAGTAATACATTCTGTGTTTTCTGAGCATGTTTGTACTTCTTGCGATTCTTTCTCCTGATGATTGCCTTTAAATTCTGAGGCAGGATTAGAATGTTCTGCCTTCCATTCAGCTGGATTCTCCGAGAGTACCATTAAAGGACCAGGTGGTGTCATTCTGTTTGGTGAACTGCAGTCTTCAGAAATGTTTAAAGGGGTAGGTGGTAACTCAGCTGAATTCATTTCAAGTTCCCTATACATTCGTGAGGGCTTTTCTGTTATTTCTGAAAGTTTTACTGAGTTACAGCAAAGTTTTGTATATTCATCACCTAGCCTTTGACATAACTCATTAATAATGACATCACAGTCCCCTAGAAGCTCCACATCAAAGTGTAGATGAGGCAAAGGTTCCCTATTAATTAAGATCTGAGGCACTTCATGGGGGATGGAACCTACACACACAGAAAAGATCAGTCACCAAAAAAAACTTTAAAAATAATTATTGTTCTAATAAAGGTAAAAATTCTTTAACAGCAGTTAGAATGCACCAACTGTACTGAAAATGAAGCCTTGTTGGTGTTCTCCAAGTTCTCTATGTATACCCACTTAAAAGAGACTAAAACAAAGAAGCTTAAGAAATCACAGGTTGGATCATCCTGGTCTGGTATCCTTGGGACTGGATTGGTCTTGAACAAGGGGATTTGCCAGACCAGTGGAGGTCTACTGCCACCAACCTCAAGTCATCAGATGAATTGAAGTGGAGTTTACAGGGGTATATATAAGCACAATGAAAGAACAACAAAAGAAAGAGGGCACTTGTATAAATGAGTCTAATCAAGTCAGGGTGGAAATGGCTCATCACTGCAGCTGGTGTGGAAATGTGGATATTGGGAGAGGGGAAAATTAGGGTTAGTCTCTTGTGAGTGGGTATTTTTCCCCCCTCTCATGATATGCACATCAAGTGCTGTGAAAGAGCCACTTCCACCCTAACTTGGATTAGGTTCAATTACCACAAGTACCTTCTTTCTTCTGTTGTCCTTATGTATACACCCATGCCTTTGTAAACACCACTACAAATCATCTAATGAAGTTGGTTTTATCCATGAAAGCTGATGCCCTAATAAATCTGTTAGCCTCTATGGTGCTACAGGATTCCTCATTGTTTTTGCAGATATGGCCTTATAATGACTACCCCCTGAGACTTTTCATAATAAAACAAGTCACTATCAAATGATCAAAGTAACCAAATAGAAAAGAGAGACTTCTCTAAACTCTTGAAAGCTACAATAATTTTATGAATTACTTGAAACAACGCAAAATTTTTCATATACAAGCGTGACTTTCAGTTAATGATACCCCTTTACCTAGAGCAAAACATTTCTGTTGAGACTGCAAATCACATTGCAAGCAAAGAATTGCTTAACCTGCCTTTTCATATTTGGAAGTAAAAAGACAAATGATGGAGATGCTGAGGAGCACTCAGAAGATAAGGTCATTGCAGAGAAACTAAATGAATTCTTTGCTTCAGTCTTAACAGCTGAGGACGTTAGGGAGATTCCCAAACCTGAGCCATTCTTTTTAGGTGACAAATCTGAAGAATCATCCCAGATTGAGGAGTCATTAGAGGTAGTTTTGGAACAAAATTGATAAACTTATCAGTAACAAATATCTGGGATTAGATGGCATTTGCCCAAGAGTTCTGAAAGAACTCAAATGTAAAACTGCAGAACTATTAACTGTGGTTTGCAACCTATCTTTTAAATCAGCTTCTGTGCCTAATGACTGGAAGATAGCTCACGTGACACCAATATTTAAAAGGGCTTTCGAGGTGATTCTGGCAATTACAGACAGGTAAGTCTAATGTCAATACCAGGCAAATTAGTTGAAACTATAGTTAAGAATAGAATTGTCACACAGATAGATGAACATAACTTGTTAGGGAAAAGTCACATGGATTCTGTAAAGGGAAATCATGCCTTACTAGTGTTGTTTGAGGGAGTCAACAAGCATGTGGACAAAGGGGAAAATCCAGTGGATATAGTGTAGTTAGATTTCCAGAAAGCTTTTGACAAGATCCCTCACCAAAGGCTTTTAAGTAAGGTTAGCTGTCATGGGATAAGAGGAAAGTCTTCTCATAGATTGATAACTGGTTAAAAGACCGGGAACAAAGGGTAGGAATAAATGGTCAGTTTTCAGATTGGAAAGAGGTAACTAGTCATGTCCCCCAAGGGTCTACACTGGGACCAATCCTATTTAATCTATTTATAAATGTTCTGGAGAAAGGGGTAAACAGTGAGGTGGCAAAATTTGCAGAGGATACTGAACTGCTCAATATAGTTAAGACCAAAGCAGACTGAAGAGCTTCAAAAGGATCTCACAAAACTAAGTGACTGGGCAACAATAAGGCAAATGCATTTTAATGTTGATAAATGCAAAGTAATGCACATTGGAAAAAATAATCCCAACTATACATACAAAATAATGGGGACTAATTTAGCTATAACCACTCAAGAGAAAGATCGCAGAGTCATTGTTGATAGTTCTCTGAAAACATTCACTCAATGTGCAGTGGCAGTCAAAACAGCTAACAAAGTTAGGAATCATTTAAAAAGGGATCGAGAATAAGACAGAGAATAATTTATTGCCTCTGTATGAAACCATGGTACACCCACATATTCAATACTGTGTACCAATGTTGTTGCCTCATCTCAAAAAAGATTGGCATTGGAAAAGGTTCAGAAAAGGGCAACAAAAATGATTAGGGGTTTGGAATGGGTGCCATATGAAGAGAGATTAAAAAGACTGACTTCAGATTAGAAAAGAGGAGACTAAGGGGGGGAATATGATAGAGGTCTATAAAATGATGACAGATATGAAGAAAGTGAATAAGAAAAAGTTGTAAGAACTAGGGAGTCACAAAATGACATTAACAGGTAGCAGGTTTAAAACAAACAAAAGGGAATTTTTTCTTCATGCCGCACACATTCAACCTGTGGAACTCCTCGACAGAGGATGTCATGAAGACCAGGACTCTAACAGGGTTCAAAAAGGAACTAGATAAGATCATGGAGGTTAGGTTCATCAATACTTATTAGCAGGGCTCGACAAATAATGTAATCTACTCGCCCATGGCAAGTAGATTACAACCCGGAAGAGCCAGCGCAAACTTTTGCATTAGAACACTTTCTCTTTTATTCCCCACAGTTATCAGTAATAGCCACTTACTTGGGATCAGTGCTACTGGTCTTACTTTCAGTGAAGACCCAATAACTATAAGGAGATCAACTTCATCTTTGTCATACTTCATGGCCCTATGGAACTGCTCAGGTAAATTTTCTCCAAAGAACACTATCTCTGGCTTCATGATGGCAAGTGGTTCATCAGGTGGACACCTGGGGCATCTAGGAACAACCTGCATTATAAAATAAGCATAGTTCCAACTTGTTAAAGAGAAAATCTCAAGTTTGAACAATTATTGGTAATTTATTGTCAAAATGTATATTGTGAAAGGCAATTAAGCTCTCAATTAAGTCTACCCTGTCTCCTTCTGTTCCATGCAGACCTCTTGTGGATCCACAAACTTTGCTGATTTGCACACACACAGTAGCTTGTGAGTGACAGTGACTGGTTGGGTAGGAGGGCTCATTTTGTGCTTTCAGGTCATTTTAAATCGAAGGAAATACCAAATCTCAATTTGGAAACTTCTGTACTGAAGTCCAGAACTTAATTTCACATTTATATAACATGGGCTTAGTCTACCACTACTTAGCACTAGCTAAATACATTACTATCAAGCAAAGTTTATACTCAGATTATTCTCACTAAACAATTAATAACTGCCAATTCTTGGATGATACCCCACTATCAAGCATCACTCCCAAAGTGTATACTGTAATAGTTTTATATTTATATGACCTTTCATCCTGAAAGGTTATATAGAATTCATACAGCACTAGTGAATTCTAGCAAATAGCCAATTAATAACATACTACATTTTGACAGCCTTTCATCATAAATGTTCCACTCCCGCACAGAACAGATAAATGCTGCTTCCTAGAAACTAGTTTTTTTTTTTTAGAGTGTTGTCTCTATATCTATACTTGTGGAATGCCCACTCCTCTGCAGCCACTGAGCTTTGGGAGCCTTCTCGAAAGCAGTAGTTTTTAAGGATGCACAAGTGCCCTCTCTCACAGCTTTGAATACTCAGAAAGGAATTTAAAAAAGGTTGATGCAGCCTTAGCCACCTCAGTTCTTTCTTCTTAACCACAGAGTGCTAAGCCTTGAATTTAGGAAAAGAAGGGACAGAGGGTTAGGAGTAAAAACAGACAGAGGCAACACTCCTAAAAACTACTTACTGCTGAATAATCTCTCTGAGGTGACCACTGCAGGTTCCCATTTGTAGTCTTGCAAGCGGTACAACGCTTAGGATGGAAGGTGGAGGTGTTCTCATTAAACAAAAACTGCAGAACTGCCCTCCCATAGCAAGCATTAGATCTCAATGGCAGAGCAAGAGACTAGTGCTGCATAAATGTGTGAAGAGAATTCCAGGCAGCATCGGCAGACTTTTAAGCCAAAAACTTTGAAAGCCAGTCTGAAAGCTATATGGAAAAAAGAAATCTTTTAAGTAGAGAACCATGAACTAGCATTGTGGGTAAGAGGCAGAAATAATGGAAGCCAGCAACAGTATGTGGACCTTGAATTTTCTGAGTAAGCAGGTTGGTTTCTGGAGATCTACAATAGGACAAAAGCCATCTCTTTAAAAAAACAAAAACAGATTCCCCCCTTTGTATTGCTGAGGCACTCTCTCTGCAGTTCCTGTCTTTACACAAGGAATCCACTCCTGCTTTTCATAGATTCTCACAAGAAGACGGAGATGGCCTAAGGGCTAGAAGATAGTATGGAGGAGTAAAGTTGGATCACACATTCCAGCTAAATGGTCTCTAGTATCCCAAACCAAAGGGAGATTAACCAAGTGGTCACCAAGGGGAGGAGAAGGAAGTTGCTCTGGGCTCTCTCACAAAACTTCAGCTCTGAGGTACTGCTGTTAAAGAAGATGACAGAGCATGAAGCTGCCATTGCTCTGATGCCTTCTGTTGATGCCAAAATGCCTTTCTGGAAATCTGGTTGGAAATTTAAAGGATGTGTACAGTGGGGATGTTAGCTATCTTGCACAAACTTAAAAAACAACGAACAGTCTAGCAGGACCTTAAAGTCTAACAAAACATGTAGATGGTATCATAAATTTTCATGGGTACAATCCACTTCTTCAGATCTTGTACTTTAGTAATTGTGTAGCCACAACAAATTTTTGCTGTTACACAGATACTAAAATGCTCCCTGGGGGCAGGGCCGGCAGCCACTGTACTCCAGCTCCACTCCCGGGAAGCCCCCTGGCACACTGCATTTCTACCTCTGTATCAGTTTAAAAATCTGCTTCCCGTGCAGACCAGCTCCTGCCTGCAGACCTGCACTCCTCAGTGACCTGCGGAGAGAGGCTGTTCTGGCATCCCACCTGCCTCTTCCCCTTCCCCTGTTGCTGATACTCCTCCTGCCCCCAGCCCTAGCTTCCCCCCTCCCCCCCACTGCTTCTGTGGGAGGCAGCTAGAGGGAAGTAGGTGACTGCAACAGCCACTATGCATGGGGAGCCAGCTTTCTATGCATACCGGCTCTCGCCTGACCCAGCAGGAGGGTCCATGGAGCTGGCACATGAGGGGAACCTGCTTAAAAGCCAGCTCCCTGAATGTACTGGCTCCAGCCTGCCCCCTCACCCTCCATGCTGCTGCTGCTGCTTCTCTATCAAAGGCAGCAACACATGTGCGTGGGGAAGTGTGTGGGGAAGGCAGCTTTGCGGGATCTGGTGCTTGTGGGGAGTCAGCTTTTAAGCTGACTTCCTCCTGCAATGCTGTCTTTGTGTTTGGCAGTGGGTGGGGAGGGGCAGGTGGCTTCACAGAACCCGGCATGAAGGGGGGGAGCCAATTTTAAGCAGGCTCCCTATAGGTACTACCAGCTCCCCCTCCCCCCTTGCTGTCTCTGATAGAGGCAGCAAGAGGACTGGGGGGTTGCGTGTAGTAATTTGGATTAACCAATAAATCTAGTCTTATCGGTTAATCATTTTAATGATTATATTCTAACATCCATAGTGTAAAGCAGTCTTTTGTATAAAAACAAATTACAAGGAGGTGTTTCTTCTTTTGATCTAAATTAAGAAGTTCCAGAGACCTAATAATGGTGTCCCTCATTTTCTCCAGATTTCATTCATCTCAAGGCTAAAAAACTATTCACATGGGCCTGAACCTCAGACAAAAGCCCCATGACAAAAATAATCAGTGAAACAACTGATGCCACTATTTAATCCAAAGTGTCTGAAGCACTGTAAGTAGGGCTGTTGATTAATCACAGTTAACTCTCACAATTAACTCATTTTAATCACACTGTTAAACTACAGAATCCCTTTAAAATCACCACTAGGGCCTTGGATGGTGTGCACATAGTAGGCAGATACTAGATCCCGGCCTCACCCCTTCTGGGGGCTCAGTTCTCAATAGTGCTTCAGTGTTACACATCTTTCAGTTACTAGCTTCTCTACTAAATCTCAGGATGATGATTAAGGGGAACATCTGTTGAAAAGGCTGACATTTGATACTAAGATGTTAAAGTTAGAATAGATAGTTGGTTACTCAAATTCTCAGGATACCTCAGAACACACTTCTTCATACACCCTCCCTCAAAATTATTACCACTGACATCCTTGCTGTTGGAAAGGAAGGTCCAAATTAACTTGGAGCTTTTTCACTGGCCATTGGGAAAAGTTGGTGCATCTTCTTCTGGACATTTATTTCTAATTCTAGAGCCTCTGTCATGTCTTCTTACTCAAGAGTTCATTGTAGGTCATCTTCCTCTTATCCATCTAGATGGTTATGGATACTGGCCAGCAAAAACACAATGCCTCTGGTCATGTCAAAGGTAAAAGACAACACTTCAGTTGTCTTAAGGCAGACTACAAGAGAAGCAGTGGCAGAAGAGTATAATAAAAGATTTTGTACAATCCTGTCTATCATAGGTTAAAAGGACGTCTCTGCTGATAAGAAACTGGCTCCTCCCCCCCACTGCTTCTGTGGGAGGCAGCTAGAGGGAAGTAGGTGACTGCAACAGCCACTATGCATGGGGAGCCAGCTTTCTATGCATACCGGCTCTCGCCTGACCCCCTCACCCTCCATGCTGCTGCTGCTGCTTCTCTATCAAAGGCAGCAACACATGTGCGTGGGGAAGTGTGTGGGGAAGGCAGCTTTGCGGGATCTGGTGCTTGTGGGGAGTCAGCTTTTAAGCTGACTTCCTCCTGCAATGCTGTCTTTGTGTTTGGCAGTGGGTGGGGAGGGGCAGGTGGCTTCACAGAACCCGGCATGAAGGGGGGGAGCCAATTTTAAGCAGGCTCCCTATAGGTACTACCAGCTCCCCCTCCCCCCTTGCTGTCTCTGATAGAGGCAGCAAGAGGACTGGGGGGTTGCGTGTAGTAATTTGGATTAACCAATAAATCTAGTCTTATCGGTTAATCATTTTAATGATTATATTCTAACATCCATAGTGTAAAGCAGTCTTTTGTATAAAAACAAATTACAAGGAGGCATTTCTTCTTTTGATCTAAATTAAGAAGTTCCAGAGACCTAATAATGGTGTCCCTCATTTTCTCCAGATTTCATTCATCTCAAGGCTAAAAAACTATTCACATGGGCCTGAACCTCAGACAAAAGCCCCATGACAAAAATAATCAGTGAAACAACTGATGCCACTATTTAATCCAAAGTGTCTGAAGCACTGTAAGTAGGGCTGTTGATTAATCACAGTTAACTCTCACAATTAACTCATTTTAATCACACTGTTAAACTACAGAATCCCTTTAAAATCACCACTAGGGCCTTGGATGGTGTGCACATAGTAGGCAGATACTAGATCCCGGCCTCACCCCTTCTGGGGGCTCAGTTCTCAATAGTGCTTCAGTGTTACACATCTTTCAGTTACTAGCTTCTCTACTAAATCTCAGGATGATGATTAAGGGGAACATCTGTTGAAAAGGCTGACATTTGATACTAAGATGTTAAAGTTAGAATAGATAGTTGGTTACTCAAATTCTCAGGATACCTCAGAACACACTTCTTCATACACCCTCCCTCAAAATTATTACCACTGACATCCTTGCTGTTGGAAAGGAAGGTCCAAATTAACTTGGAGCTTTTTCACTGGCCATTGGGAAAAGTTGGTGCATCTTCTTCTGGACATTTATTTCTAATTCTAGAGCCTCTGTCATGTCTTCTTACTCAAGAGTTCATTGTAGGTCATCTTCCTCTTATCCATCTAGATGGTTATGGATACTGGCCAGCAAAAACACAATGCCTCTGGTCATGTCAAAGGTAAAAGACAACACTTCAGTTGTCTTAAGGCAGACTACAAGAGAAGCAGTGGCAGAAGAGTATAATAAAAGATTTTGTACAATCCTGTCTATCATAGGTTAAAAGGACGTCTCTGCTGATAAGAAACTGGCTGGAATTTTTATTTCTCATCTAAACAGTCCCTCTGATTTAGGATGAAATCTGTCCAGAGAAGGAGCAAGGCCAAGAAAATGCAAACATTTTTATGAAGAATGAAACAGCCCAGAAAACTGGCAACTTCCAAGGTTTGATCTAGCAAGAATCTGGAAGAAAAAAAGAGAAAGAAGAGTCGAAACTGGGTCTTCTGTAAGGACTTAGGACTGAAAGGTCTTTGTTAGATGCAAAGGGTCTGTGGAAGTAGGGAACTGCCTGAGGTTTCTGAGCTAGATGAGCATTTCCTCTACCAAGGTAACAATTAACTGACCCCTAAAATAAGCACTGGACAAGGAGAGGAGAATTAAAATACAGGACCAGACAGGATTTGGGACTAGCAGTTTGAAGAGTATGTATGCATGCATGCAGGAGGGAGTGGGAGTAAAACGATTTTGGGCCTTTTCCTTTGATGGGCCTTATTCCTTGATCTTGAAAACCATGTTTAGCAGTGGACACATTAACCTGCAATAACACCTCCCCACCCCCACTGTCTGAGATTATTTAAAAATCCAGATAGTCCTAAGTGGCTCCAAACAGTCTTACTACATTGCTGCAAATAAGAGGAACTGCAGGTGCATGGAGGTGACCCAGAAGAGAAACCCTTTGAATCTTACTACTAGGGATTTCACTTTTAAACATGCAGTAAAATTCCTAAGAAAAGAAAATGCCTGTCTTCCCTAAAAAAGTTGAAGACACTATGTACCAGAACTACTACTAGGGTGTGTCTAGCTACATGGCTCTGTAGACGAAGCCATGTAAAGTAGTTTACTCGACAGTCAATGAAGCGGGGATTTAAATAATCCCCTTTGACGACCGCTCCCTTATGAAACGAGGCATAAGGGAGCGGTCAACAAAGGCTTCCCTTGTCGACCGATCCGCGTCTAGACTGCTGCGCCGTGCCAGATCAGCTGATTGTTGGCACAGCGCAGCGGCCATTTTTATTTTAATGAAACGGGGATTATTTAAATCCCCGCTTCATTGACTATGTCGGGTAAACTACTTTACATGGCTCCGTCGACGGAGCCATGTAGTCTAGACACACCCCTAGATTGCAAGAAATTGTTGTAGGGAGGGAAGTGGTGGCAATAGCTAATCCTGATTGGATAAGATAGGAAAAGCTGGAGGAAGTCTCTGCTTTTTGGAAAGAAAGGCAGAAAGACTAAGCTAGACATGTCAGTGCTGTGATCCAAATATGTCAGCAGAGGGAGAGCTGGCAACTAAAACTCAGTTATGTCAGATTAGAAGCTGAAAACCCATTGGAGTTTAGAGCTGAGGGAGCAACAACTGCCCCAGGCAGGAGAAATAGTAAATATTTATAAAATTCCTGATAATGCAAATCAGACTTTTTTCGTGGACATTATTGCACACTTCAACTATTGCAAACGACACCTATTTTTCACAGACCCTTGTTCCTTTTATACCATTACATTTGAGACAGAGTTTGAATGTTTATGGTCCTTAGATTTAGTTTCTCATTTAAAAGAGCAAGTGTGCGCACACTAAATATTTATGGTAGAACCATTGGTGTAGTGGCCTCTATCTACACAGGCCGAGAAGACCCAGCTCTTAGGATAGGATCTCCCCTTCCAGATCCTCCTGGCCAACTAAGCACCTTCTCAGAAATCCCTCTACTCCTGGAAGGGCAGGGGATAAAAAATGGAGCTGAAAAATACAAGATTGCTCTACATTAACAGAAGTAGTAGGAACTACTTTACCTAGATCTGGAGCATGTCACACAACATAAAAGGCTAGAGAGAGATGATAATAGCTTCAAACACACCTTTGAAAATGTGTGTCAAAGGCTCCATTTGATTCCCCATCTTTTTAATAAAAAGGACAACAGCTTTATAATTTTATCAACTTTCCTTACATGTCATGTGTTGTTTAACAAATATTACTGAATAAAAAAACAAAAACCAAAAAACACACTCCTTGGAAGATTTAAAGGAACACTCAAAAGTATTCAGAGTTCCTTACCTGCATTACGATCATCTTATATTAATAAAAAATACATTATTAAATCTAATTATTTTTCTCCCATTTTTAATCAGACTTATTTTATTTAACTAATTTTGAAAGGAAGCTAAATAATGAAATTAATTAGAAATCTATCTGGTTCCCAAATAGTATTTGGATTGCAAGTGCTGCAGGAAAATCTCAAAATATAAATTTAATTTGAAATAAAGTGTTTGGAATTTCATTTCTAGTGCACATTTAATACATTAAAAAAAAAAAAAAAGCTGATAGAAACATTCCAGTTACTTCAAGGAAAACTATAACAACTTTTTGGAAACCTATGATCAGTTAAGCATTTTTTTTCTCTAATTACCTGATTAAAAATGTCTCCTCGAACAGCTTCACAGTCAACTCTGTATTTACAGATTAGGCAGGAAGCTGTTGCAAAGGAACCTGGAAAAAAAAAGGAAAAGGGTGAAGATGTTTTTTCTACACAATAGTGACAGTTAACATTACTATATGGTCTCAGATGATGACTTACATCAGTGGTTTTCAGACTACGAGTCATGACTCAGTATTGGACCACGGAATGTCAGGCACTGGGTCTCATCGCTGCAGGGCGATCAGTAGTGGGCTAAGGCAGGCTTCTTGCCTGTCTTGCCATTGCGCTCCATGCCCGGTTCCTCAGTGAGCAGAAGAATGCACGGGGCTCCATAGACTGTCATTCCCTGGGCACTAGCTCCACAATACCACTAGCTAGAACCTGCTGCTGGCTGCTTCTGGGGTGCAGCATAGTCTGCGGTGCCAGCACAGGCAAGAAGCCTACCTTAGCACCCCTTAGCCTACCTTAGTGACTGGGAGCCACTCGAGGTAAGCCCATCCTACCCCAGCTGTGACCCATACCCAAAGCTGAAGATCTCATTCTCAGCTCTAACCCAGAACCCACACTTCAGTCAAATTACGTTGGGTCACAAGCATCAATAATTTTCCTTAACTGGGCCATGAGAAAAAAAGTTTGAAGATCATTGACGTATGACAGAACAATGCTAGAAAGGCATAATAAAGTTCATTAATGCCCCCTCCCCCACACACACCTATAATCAGTTTAATTAAATTATCTTGGAATTTACTTTCTGAAAAAAACTTCCAATATGAGGTATTTTGGCTTTGCGTCTCTTCCTATAAATACCAAAAGCAGTAGAAGTTTAATGCTACATCAGGTGAAAATTTCCAAAGCTTTAGGGAAAAACTAATTTAGTAGATTAGAATGTAACTTAATACTATTTTAAGTAAGTAGTGTGAACTGTATACCAGAAACCTGAAGACTCCCTCATATAAATATCTGGATAATTTCTTGAGGTGCTGACTAGGGGATGTGCAGAAGGATTAGTTACTGGAAAGTAATCAGTAAATTAGTTTTCATTTCAAATCTCTCTTTTTTTAGTCAGAAATACTTGGGATATAGCAAGCAGTCAGTTGCAAGGAAAGAGAGACCAGAATCAAGTGTTCAACTCCCCCCTCCATTAGTAGTTATAAGCCAGTTTTGAGAGAAATGATTTGAAAACCCTTTTACCCAAAGGATGCCTGAAAAAAAAGTAAGTCAAACCTGTAAATCCTGAGAGAGAGAGGGAGATATGACAAAATAGCAGCTTTATAGATTTTCTGCTGTGGCTGAGGCCTTTTCTGTCTAACACTTTGTTGTAAAACGTGGATATGTTATGGGAAGATCCACTTATCTGCAGCTGTATATATCTGTATATTCTACCTTAGGAGAATCTGAGTGCTTATAATACACACAGGCATTAAGGAATGAAGGAGGTGAAAAAAGGTTGTGGCCCAGATCCTCAGTTAATATAAACGGGCATGGCCCCACTGATTATGTTGGAACTACATCACTTTACACCAGTTGAAGATATAAGCAAATGTTTAACTTCACTGATTAGTAGTACTTAAGTATATTTCAACTACTCTCAATGTTTAACTTCACTGATGAGTAGTTGAAATATACTTAAGTACTACTATTCTCATATTTAGCACATACCATACTTTTCTTATTGCTGTTGACACTTTGGACTAAAACAATAACTCTTCCTTTTGCAATTCACAGAAATAAGTTTTGATTATGAATCTTCTTATATTCAAGAGATTTCTGAGATTGCGTCACCCAAGGTGTTGACTGGAAGCTTGTTTTAATGAAGAGGAAACAAAGGGAACTGGATTCCACAGATTGAAATATAGGAGTTGTGAGATCTTATAAATTTGGAAGGGCAGAAACAGCTAATTGCTGATTTGGTTAGGAATGGTGGTCTAGGCACCTTGCTACTATGAGGTAATCTACCAGACTTTTGTGAACCTATGTTTACAACACTGGGTTACAAGATGCATTGCAAGATATTTTATACCAAATCTAACCTTCTTGTAATTACTTCTAAAGAGGTTACTCACCTGTACAGTAACTGATGTTCTTTAAGATGAATGTCCCTATGGGTGCTCCACATTAGGTCAGTGTGCCGCCACCAAGTCCTTTCTCTGGAGTCTTCAGAGCAGCGTCTCCAGGGCCGCACATGCACGTGCCTCCAGCCGCATGCTCCTACAGTGGAGGCATTGCACATGCCTGAGCACCACCTCCTCTCAGTTCCTTCCCCACCCCTGAAGCAGAGGGGAAGAAGGGAGGGTAGTGGAGCACCCACGGGGACACATCTTGAAAAACCATCAGTTACTGCACAGGTGAGTAAGCTCCTCTTCTCCTTCGAAAGATGCCCCTATGGATGCTCCCCGTTAGATGACTACAAAGCTATATCCATTTAAAATAGGGATTTCAGATCTGACATGAATGCAGTAGCTAGCATGGCCCGAGAATTTGAGGTTAGAGAAAGGTCCCTGAGAAGGTACATAATGCTTTGCGAATGTATGTTCTGATCACCAGGCAGCAGCTGTGCAAATGCCTGCTATTGGGACCTTTTGAAGGAAGGCCACCGAGGTAGCCATGGCTCTGGATGAGTGTGTGCTTATTTTGTGAAGAGGATTAACATCTGATAAAGAGTAACAAAGTCTTATGCAATCCAAAATCCAGTGAGAGTCACTGGGCTGAGATGGTTTGGCCTTTATTGAGTTTAGCTATGGAAACAAACAGTCTGGGAGAGGACCTGAATGGCTTTGTACATTGTAAATAAAAGGAAATTGCCCTGTGTAAATCCAGCATGCGCATGACTGATTCAAACGCATTAGTGAGAGGTTTGAGGAAGGTAGGCAAATATATGGTCTGATTCAGATGGAAAGAGGATTGAACCTTTGGTAAAAACTTGAGATTAATTTGTCCTTAAAAAAGGTAACGAACGGGAGATCTGCCATCAGTGCTGCAATCTTTCCTACCCATCTTGTTGAAAGAATAGCTACAAGAAAAGCTGTTTTCACAGAAAGGTGCAAAAGGGTGCCATTGGCTCAAATGGAGATTTGGTCAGAGTATTTAAAACCAGATGGAGGTCCAATGGTTTTGCTGGCGAGGCCTCATCTGGGTAGAGTGCTTTGATACACCTCTTAGTAAGAGGGTGTGCTAATATTGAGGAACCATCTATTTTGAGGTAAAAAGTACCTATAGCAGCAAGGTGTATCTTAATGGAACTCAGTGCGAGACCAGCGTGTCACTGTGAACATCATATGGAAAACCTTTTCCATTTCTGAAGGTATGCTGTACAGGTGCTCTGTGTTCTGCTGTGCAGTAGGACGTGTTGAACGTGTGACCGCTCTAGTTCTTGTGTGGAAACCATAGAGAACCTATGTATTTCAGGTTCATCATGTGACGATTGGGATGAATGGTCTGATTTCCTGCCTAATAGAGGTGATCCTGATTGTGGGGCAGAGGGATTGGTGGTACTCGAGACATTATAAGCAGAAAGAGAAACCAGGGTTGGCTTGGCCAAAAAGGTGCTATGAGAATTAAGTGTGCTTTATCTGTCTGCACTTTGACTATGACCCTGTTCACAATGTATATTGAGGGAAAGCATATCAGAGATGATGTGACCAGTATAATCATCAAGGTATCTTCAAGTGAGCCCTTCTCCATGCCAGCTCTGGAACAAAACTGCAGACACTTTTTTGTTGTTGTGTGTGTACCCGTCTCGTCCGACGGCGCCCTATGACCCCCCCCTTGGAAGGGGGGCTTAATGTCGTTCGGACGCCTTTTCTGGCGGCCGCTAGGACAATCCTCCTGCCCCAGCTCCTGCACTCTCCGTGGCACGGGAATACCAGCGCCTCCCCCAAGGTCGCGGGGCGGGGGAAAGGGGGACCCGGGCCCACCATCACTCACGGGCCCCAACCCAGGGCCCTAAGGACACGGATCGGTCTGGATCTGGTCCAGCTGATGGGGCATCCTGCCGTAACGCGTCAGCCCACCAGCTCCAAATGGGCTCTGCCCTGGGCTGCTTCCTTTCCCCGCCCCCGACTTCTCGACGCCGGAAGGCTCACCTTTCCTTTAGCGGACAGGGTGCCAACGCTCAGCAACTAAGTAGTCAGTGGACTGTAACCACCGGTCTACAGGCACCCTCTCTGACCCCCAACCGTTCTCCAGGGTCTCTCCCGGTGGCATCTCCAAAGCCTCCACCCAGCCACTCACCCCCTCTCTACGTCGCGCTGCTTCCGCCCTGCCTGACGTCATCAGAAGGGGGAGAGCGGGGCTGTCGTGTCCCGCTGCTGTTTCCCGGACACGCTGGACTCCCAGGGTGGGGGAATGCCTCCATGCTGTCCCCGCTCCCACCTCCGTGCTTCCGGCCCGCCGCCTGCAGGTCGCCAGGCTCCGCAAGCCACGGTGCGGCACGGGAACACGCCGTGCATCGCCGGGCTGCCTCCCTCTCGGTGCCGAGCAACACCTGGTCAGCGGGAGTCGCCGTGCGGGGCGAGGGTGCCCCGTCACAGTGTGGCAAAGAGGTCTATGGTGGGTGACCCCATTGTTAGAAGAGCCTCGAAATCATATCTGGATTGATTGGCCACTCATATTTGGTGGGCAGTGACCTGTTTAGAGCATCGGTCGTGGTGCTGAGGTTGCCAGGAAGGTGAATGGCAGAGCTAGATATGCCATGTTTCAGGCACCAATTCAAAGTGAAATTGCCTCTGTTCATAGGGCATGTGATCGGGTTCCACCCTAATTATATAAAACATTGCCGCAACACTGTCCATGTATAGTCTCACATGATTGTTGCGGATTAAAGGTACAAAACACTTGCAAGTGCATCTCACTGCTCACAGTTCCACAGTCCCTAACCTGTGTGATGCTGCAAGTGTGGGCCCCAGGCCATGAGGGATGCATCGGTCATCACTGAAATACAGTTCTACAGTAAGGAACAGAATGCTGGAACACAGGTTTTTCGGTGTCAACCACCAGAGAAAGTTTTTCTTCACCGAGGGTGTGATGATGAGGGACTTTGATAGTGGATGGATGTTGGGTTTGTAAACTGTCC